TATATATATATATATATATATATATATATATATATAATGAAAAATTGAATCAAATATCTTAAAACTTATTTTAATATTTTTTTGGGACATTTAGGTCATTTAACGCAAACTCACAAACACAATGCATACACAAAGACTATAACCCAAAATCTCTTAGTTGGAAGCATAAGCTCTCAACCAACATGTCAAGGTGAGTTGTCTCTTATTTTAATATTTGAAAAAAAAAAAGGAAACATGCAGCAGAACTTAGTGCAGAAGTTATTGCGAGGAGAGTATCTTTGAAGAAACTGATGGAAAAGAATTGATAAGAGAGAAGAATAACAAAGGTTGTATTCAATCTATCTTGTATTACACCGCAGCCTTCAAGTCTATTAAATAGACCTAGGTAGTACGGCTCAAGAAGAGGAGCCACTCACAAACTTACACCTCAGACAAAGTATAATTTGTAACAAAAATTATTTTGAATATTTATATTTCTGGTTCTAATACTCCATTGCAAACTGATGGGTCTTGCATGACTGTTAGTTTGCGACGAAGTTTATGAAATCGATGTGTGGAGAGTGCCTTGGTTAATATGTCGGCCACTTGATATGTTGTACTTGTTGGTAGAATGGAGATGTTGTTTTGTTGAATGTAGTCTCGTACGAAATTTTGGTGGATTTCAATGTGTTTCGTACAAGCATGAAAGACCGAATTGTTTGCTAATGCGATTGCCGAGGTGTTATCACAGTATATTTTCGTTGAACACTCTTGAGCAATACCGAATTCGGATAGAAGCCTGCGGATCCAAATTATATCCGCAATGAGTGCTGCTAGTGCATGATACTTGGACTCGGTGGATGATCAGGCAATCGTGTGTTGTTTCTTGACTGTCCAGGAGATGATTGTGTTTCCCAAAAAGGAACAGTAGCCTGATGTTGATTTCCTGGAGACCGGGTCTCCTTCCTAATCAGCATCTGAAAAAGATTGTTGAATAAGATTAGTATTTGTAATTGGTATACCAAAGTTTGACGTACCTTTGATGTATCGCATAAGACATTTTAGAAGATAAATGTGTTGAGGTTGAGGATCATGCATGTGTTGAGATAATTGATTTACACTGTAGGCGATGTCGGGGCGAGTAATTGTTAGGTACTGTAATGACCCAGTGAGGCGTCGGTAGAGAGTGGAGTCTTGAAGAACTGTTTCGATGTTGAAAGTATCCGGGAACTTGGTGCAAGTGGGATTCACAAGATCATTGCAGGCTGTGAGGTTTACTTGCTCCAGAAATTGGTGCACATATTTTTCTTGAGAAAGGAAGTAGCTGTTTGGATGCTTGGTTATTTTTATACCAATAAATTCAGATATCTCCCCTAGGTGTTTCATGTTGAACTTCGTGTTGAGTATGGCTAGAATTTTTGTAATGGTGTCTGGATCGTTTCCGGATATTAGAATGTCGTGATGTTATACCAGTTACACCTGCAGCAGCTATCTGGTCTACCAAAGACTTGATGTCGGTGAGATATTGCGTCATGTTGGAGTTCTTGAAGGATATGTTGTGGAGTTCATTCATTAGTTGAATGACTTTGGAACTGTTTGTAGATTGAAAACGCTTTTGTAGTGACAACCAGATGGCTGCCGTAGTTTCCAAATAAATGATGTAAGGAAGAACCGTAGGGGAGATCGTAGAGCAAATGGAAGCAGAAATGTTCTGGTATGTGAGAACCCACTTGGACAACATAGGATTTGATGAAGACGAACCGTCTTGGTTCGTTACAGTCTACAGTGGAGGAGTGGAATTGGGATCAAGAAAGCTTTGAAACCCATTCGCACAGATGATCTTGAGAACCTGCGACCTCCAAATGGAATAGTGTCGGAGGCGAGGGGGATGGTGACGACGTTTTTGATGTTGGAAACCATAAACTTAAGATTGGAGGGGATGACCGGATCAGAGGCTTCGGTGGTTGGCGAGACGCGATGATCTTCAGTCTGGGAGGAGGCGGAATGAGCCATCGGCAGGAACCTAACCTACTACCGATACCATGAAGAATGATGGATCAAGAAGGAAAAGAATTGCTAAGAGAGAACAAAGGTAGTATTCAATTTATCGTATATTACACAGTAGCCTTCAAGTCTATTAAATAGACCTGGGTAGTAGGGCTCAAGAAGAGAAGAGCCACTCAGAAATTTACACCTCACACAAAGTACAATTTGTAATAGAAATTATTTTGAATATTTATATTTCTGATTCTAATAATCTTAACTCCAAATCAATCACTTATTAATATGCCAACTACGAATTAACGAACTCCGAGAGGCCGTTTCGATATCAAGACTGACAAGCCAGCCGTACACCCACGCTTCAGATGGCTCTTGACTATCTTATGCAGCCAGCAGTCATTAACTAGATAAATGATATAAGGGAGTTTCGAACCATCAGAAATGCTTTGAGATTCCCAACAGCTTCTTATCTCCTAGTAAAGATCGAAATGACATGCATAGCTTCTTTTTTATAATACAACTGTTGCACAGGATTTGGCTAGCTACGGAGGAAGCAATGTGCCGCTTTGGCTGCCTGGCGCTTTCTTCATGCCGTCCGCTCTATAAATACCCTTCTCCCGTCTTCACATTTTCTTTGCCTGGCACCTCTTCTCTCGCTTTCTCTCGCTAGCGCTCACACTATTCGTTCCATTTCGCAGGTACAAGGTTTCAAACATAGCTGCATCTTCGCTTCTTTGAACAAGTCGATCTAGGGCTCGTTTCGCATTTCTCATTCGTATTCCTATCGGATTTGATAATTCTTTTCAAGGATTCGATATTTCTTTTGATTTCTCTGCCTTTGCTTCGGTTTTCGAGAATTATTTATTCGCTCGAACTCGGATCGATTCTGAGATCTCTAGTTTTCAACTGTTCTCAAGCACGACGAGCTTCTTGAAACGAATCGAAATGTAGATCGTTTGCTGATTTGATTTTACACTTAATCTTCTTTATTTTTCGTAGATTCTGGATTTTGGGTGTAGAGCCGAGGGTCAAGAAGGTGTAATGGACGGGTTGAGGGATCCAGGAATTCGGAAGGTTGGATCTCAATCATCTATTGATACTGATGTCTTCGATATCACGCGGCTGCTCGATAGGCCGAGGGCGGTTAACATTGACCGGCATAGATCATTAGATGAGCGGGCGATGAGCGAACATTCTGTCATGGGGAATGCGAAAGCTGTTGACAGCAGTGAGAGCATGAATTCAACTATGGAAACGGGGCCAAGGCTGGGATTCGAAACGCCGATTTCATCGACTCCGAGGTCCCCGAATCCCAATGTCGTCGATGCCTGGGATGCTCTCCGACGCTCTTTGGTGTATTTTCGCGGGCAGCCTGTTGGAACTGTAGCTGCCATCGATTACCAATCTGAAGAGGTCCTAAATTATGATCAGGTTTGTTCACATCCCCCTCTAGCTATAGCTGCTAATTGCAGATGAAAGCCAAAATACTTTTGCATAAAAGAATATTTCGGTAGAACTTTTGTTGAAGGTTTCAGTACGGTGCTGCTCGTGTCTGAATTCCGGTGAGGAGTGATCGGAGAACTTTAAATGCATTTAAAAGCAAATAGTGTATATAAAAGGCTAATTTATACGTATTTATAATATAATTCAGTGATATCATGTATGCGGCGAGATGGTAGATGGAAGCTATTCCTCCCCTCCAACCTTCTCTCAAATCTCCTAATGTCTCCGCCACCCCTCAAAAATAAATAAATAAATAAATAAATTTATATATTTTTTTAGGTAATTTATTCCTTTTGATCTATTTTTTCATCTTTATTACAAAGATTTTTAGGCAATTGCCCCTCCTAAAAATTTGAAAATACTATGGTCTTTAGGTAATTGCCCCCAACAAATAGTAAAGAGAATTCA